CGCGGATATTGAAAAGAACATCCGAGTGATGCTCTGGACAGTAGCATCACTTGAACAATCCCCCGCGCGCTGATTCACCGCATCATCGACACCTGCAAAACCTAGTCACTCGTCGTCGCCACCAGCACTGACAGCGATGGCCGACGATGCTCCGCTCGACTTGGCCGCGGCCTTCTGAAGGGTCGCGCCCTTGCCCGAGGCCTTGGCTGCCGCCGCCGCCGCGAAACGCGCCTGGGAGATGCGCTCGGCCTCTGCCCTCAGCTCCTCCTCGGATGGCTTCGGCTTGGTGGTCTCCTCGGCCAAGCTCGCAGCATCTGCGCCTCCTGCAACTCCGTCTTCGCGTGCCTGCTGGTCTCCTACTTCTGCGACACCTGGTCCTGCGGCGGCTGTCTTGCGCTTCTTGCTCATCCTGTCCAAAACCTCCTTCGCCAGTTTGGCAACCTTGTCCGAGAATACCTTGAGCTCCACATCCTTGGGCTCGAAGCCCTGCTTCCATGTCTTCAGCTCTACTTTGGGCTGGCGCAACGCCTGCTTGTCGTTCTCCTCGCACTCCCATTCCTCGAACTTCTCGAAGACCTCTAAGTTCATCTGGATGCTGATCGTCGGCTGCGCCCCACCTGGGCCCCCTGAGCCGGCGCCCGCCCTGGTGGTACCAGGCAAGCCCTCTGCCATGACGAAGGCAGCAGCCGCGTTCTTCTTCATGCGCCACGCGAGGGCCAGTTCCTTGGCGGCGGCCTGCCCCATGGCCTCCGCGGTCTGGAGCCGGGTCCTCAGCCCGAGCACTTGCGCGACTGACTGCTCACGCGTGTGGCTAACCGCCCACCATGCTCCGTCGGCGCGCTTGACCGACTCCTCCGCCGACTCTGCAGACGCGGCGGGAAGCGAGGCGAGGCGGCTGCGCTGGGCCTCCAACGCCTTCCTCATCTCCTCATCCTGCGTCGTGCGCAGGGCCTTCTCCAACAGGTCGTCGTCCAGCTGTTTGGTCGCCAGCTCCTGTCCCTTCGCCCGAGAGCGAAAGCCCGTGCTGCCGACACTGTTGTTCTCCCAATCCGAGTCGCTCTCGACATAAACGTGACGCTCGGGGCCGTGGGGTTTGAATAGCTTCTTGCTATTGAAGTCACAATGCTGGTACTTCATGCCGTTTGACCTGATCTTCTCGTTGTACTCACATCGCCGACAATTGCCGCACCTCGTCCATGGCCTGGAAGTGTGCGTCGGCGGTGCCATCCCTGTTTTCACGGACACTCATGAAAGTAGCGAGATCACAAGTGAGCGTACTCAAGCACCACTCTGAGGTACAGGGAAGGACTCGTGTGGAAGGATGTGTGGAGAAACCCCCAGGCCTCCGCCTCCCCAACTCGAGCCCAAGCGGCTTGAGTGGAGCAGGAGGAGGAGGAGGAGGAGGAGGAGGAGGAAAAGGAGGAGGAGGAGAGAAAAGGAGGAGGAGGAGAAGAGGAGGGGGGGGAAGGGAGGACGACGGACGAAGCAGAGTAGTAGGGGAGGGTGGAGGACGAAAGAACAACGAAGGAAAGGGAGGGAGGGGGGATAATAAGAGAAAGGAGGACGAAGTCCGAGGAGGAGGAGGAGGAGGAGGAGGAGGAGGAGGAGGAGGAAGGGAGTAGGGAGGAGGGAGGAAGGCTAGGGAGAAGGGAGGTGCGGGTGAGGCAGAGAAAAAGGGATGAGGAGATGCAGGATGAGGGAGAGGGGGAGGAGGAGGAGGAGGAGGAGGAGGGAGGAGGAGGAGGAGGGAGGAGGAGGAGGAGGAGGAGGAGGAGGAGGAGGCGGAGGCGGAGGCGGAGGGGGGAAGGGAAGGAGCAGTCGGAGGATAGGAGGAGTGAGAGTCGTCCTCGCCAGATTTCTCGCCACGTGCACAACCGAAAGAGCAGCTCAACTGATGCCAAAGCCGCTGCCGCCCCCGCCATCGCCGCCCACCCCGACTTCGGCCCCACTGCTTTCCAGATGCCGGGCGTCCTCATGAGAGCCCAGGGCAGCAATCCCACCAGCTCGTTAGGACGAAGGTGATTTAGAGCATTTCCCCTTTCATCCCAATTCATCCACTTCGGGGGCGGGTCTATCGCTGCCCCTTATTGGTATACAACCCCTCACCTACCCGACCAGCGACAAACCTAGGCCAATGCCGACCCCCCCACACACACCCACCACTCCACTATGTGCCAAACTCTGTAACATACGCGGACGCCCCGCGATCACTTTGTACTGATTTTTGACAGGGGCGGCGGGGGGGGGGGCATATTGCCTGCCGCGTGCAATGCCATCACCTCCCCGCTAGCCCCTGCAGGAAAACTGTGCCGAGTGCACTTGCACTTTGCGCCCAAATCTGGATCATACGCGGACGACCAGCTATCAAGTTCCATTGGCTTTTGACAGGGCGGCGGGAGGGGGGCAGAATATTGCCTCCTGCGGCCGGGCCCACCACCCCTGTCAACAAAACACAAAAAAATCCTTTGCCAGGGACGGCGGGGGGGAGCGGAATACTGCCTGCTGCGCGCAGGCCCACCATCCCTGTCGAAAACAAGTGCAAAGTGATCGCGGGCGCACACCCAGACACAATACACATCAACATACAATGCTCACAACTCCGCCGTCACGTAGCAGTGGTCTTTGACCCTCTTTCTGACAGGGGTGTTGGTGGGTCGACCCATTGCCCAACGTGACGCACCTGGTGCGCATGGCGCACCTCGCGGGCTTCGCGCACCTGGGTGGCGTCTGGATTTTGTCCCGATGGTTCTGGATGGCGGCCCCTGCCTGTGCTGAGACTCGGGTGCTACTAATGTGGTGGGATGGTGAGTCGGAGTGAGCGAGACAGCTTGCAGCGTTTTCGCTGCGAACTTGATCACTGCTCCTGGTCAAGATACACCCCGCGACTAAACAGAGCTAATGAGAGCACCTCTCTGCCATCCTTGTCAAAGAAAATACAAAGTGCACGTTGCGGCAAAATCTTGGATCATGTTCGGGGGGCCCGCGGCGGGGCTGCCAGCAAACGGCCTGCTGTGCGCAGGGACACCATCAACCATCACTGCTAGAAAACCATACAATATGCACGTCGAGGCTAAATCTGGATCATGCGCGGGCACCGCGCAGTCACGATGAATTCGGCGGGGGTGCTGGCATACTGCCTGCCGTGTGCAGGTCCACCTAACATCATGATTGCCACTCCGCCGCGATTACGCATTGGTATGGGGTCCGACGTGTTTTCCGATGTGCGCGGGCGCACCTTGATAACTCTGCGCGTGCCCCGAACATGACGCACCTGGCGCGGCTGGAGCGTGCGACACACGTGGCGCACGTGGAGCACGTGGCGCATCTGCGCACCAGGCGTGCCTGGCAAGCTTGGGCCCCAGGGGCGCCTGGCGCGCCTGGTGCGCATAGCGCGCCTGGCACCCGTGGCGCACCTCGCCCCAGCGTCGCGCACCTGGGGTCTGTATCCAGCAGCTGCCAATCAAAAAGACGACCGCTGAATATGTTGAAACCTGGATGCTACGTATGTGTGGGGACGGCGGGTGGGAGTGAACCAAACAGTTTGCGTCTAGGAGAGAATTCTTGAACATTGCCCCTACTCCCTCACACTGGGTCTGGACGGGGGAGGGCGGCGACCGAGTGGAGCGTCCAAGATAACCGAAGATGACCCCAGGGGGGCCAGATAGCCCAAGATGGCCTCCAAAATGGCTCAAGATAGCGCGAGGTCGCTCAAGATGGCTTCCAGCATACTTCAAAAGGTCCCACGACCGCACCAAGACGGGGCCAAGTTGCCTTCGGGGGCCTCCCCAGGACGCCCTCGGGAGACCACTACCGCGACAGAACCAGAAGACATTGAATGGTTGTTGCCGTCAAGCTTTTTTGCTTCCGATGGCCTTCCGAGGCCCCAGGATGGCTCCAAGAGGACCCAAGAGAGCCCCAGAGGGGGGCCCAAGAGGACCCCAAGACGGCCCCAAGAGCGCACCAAGAGAGCCCCAAGAGGTGATGTTCGGGGCTCTGGAGGGGCAACACTAATTGGGCCCCCCCTTCTTTGATCGATGTAATCCAAGATGGTCCCAAGAAGACATCCAAGGCTCCAAAGGAGGGCCCCAAGAAGGCCCCAAGAGGCCCCTAAGAGGCCCCCAAGACGCCCCAAGAGGCAACCAAGAGCCCTCGAAATCCCCCAAGACGCCCTATGAGGCCACCAAGAGTTCCCCAGGAGACATCCCAAGCGACTCCCAGAGGCATCCACAAGGCCTCTAGCTCACCGAGGCTCCGCGAGGTATCCAAATGATGCCACGCTTCCCCGAGAAGGGCACCCCCAGGGCATCGTTCCTGGATGGGCTGGTGGGGGTACTGTTCGTTCGCGAGCGCAAACGGAAGGGACCACCATCATCATCATCATCATCATCATCATCATCATCATCATCATCAGCAGCATCATCATCATCAGCAGCATCAGCATCAGCATATAAGCATGATCGACAACAGCAACAACGGCAACAGCAACAGCAACAACAACAACAACAACAACAACAACCACAACATCAAGCACAACCACAACCACAACCACAACAACAACAACAACAACAACAACAACAACAACAGCAGCAATAACAACAACATGCTCATCATCAGCAGTAGCATTATCAGCAGCATCGCCATCGCATTATCAGCAGCATCACCATCATCATCAACATCAGCATCATCAGCATCATCCGCATCATCACCATCATATTTCGTGAGGAAGAAGAAGACGAGGGAGGTGGGTGAGGAATCGGCTCGGTCGGAGTAGTACTAGTAATGACTAGAAACTCATAGTTAGGATATACGGAACAAACGGCGACGGAACTTGACAAAAAACAGCGTCAGAAACTGAATAAAACTGCGAAATGTGAACGGGAACAGAAACCGTCCTGGCGTTTCCAAGAACCACCAAGGGTGTTCCGGTACCGAGATTCGCGGGCAACGGTACCGGTATTCACATGTCCCTTCGCTGGATCATCCCGCTCTGCCCCGTGGGCCTTATGAGCCGCTCGGTGCGCCGCGGGCCGTTGCGCATGATGTCGGCAAGGGACACGACGACCTCCTCGCGCAGAGAGCAGGCATGCGCGGCGGGATCGGCAGGCGGACAAGAAAGGAAGGTTGCAGAGACGTGCATTCGGTCGAAACATTCGGCCCATCTGCAGTCCCCCCGGGGCTCGCGCCGCCGAAACGTGGCCACAAGAACGTGGATCAAGAGCATTACAGGGCTCGAGTTAAGCAGTCTTGTTCGTGTTCGATGTGTTGTCGTGTTCCTTCGTTCTTTTTTCTGCATCTGCTACAAGACGAAATCAGGACGAAAACGGTCCACAAATCGCCAAAACACCGTTCAGCTTGAGCCCTGCTGCATCCCCCCCCCCCGAGCTCGCCACCGAAGCATGGCCACAAGAGCATGGATGTCAAGGGCACGAGAGACCCTTCGCTTAGAAAGCTCCATGCCCCCCAGGGAGATGCCCCATAAACGGAGAGCAGAGTCCCAGAGCTCAAGAGCCCGAGCGGAAAGCACTTGAGAGCGCCCCTCCAAAGGTTGGGCGTCCCTTGGTGGGGGGAGCGATAAATCGGGGGGGAGAAAGGTGCCCTGTTCGGGCCCCCTGCTGAGCCCGAAAGGGCCCCTTCAGGGGCCCCCAAAGGGCCCCTTTTCTGCAGCCCTCGCTGCCCCCCAAATTATCGCCCCCCCTATTAGGCGACGCCCAAAAAGGTTGGAGAGAGCGAGTTCTGTGTACGCTGCACTGGTGGCAAAGTCCCCCCCCTCAGGGCGAGAAAATAATGTCATGACAAGTTTGGCTCAAGATGCATTCCAGGATTTCCAGCGGCCCTCGTTTTTGCAGCGGCCCTCGTTTTTGCGACCCGTGTGGAATGTTGGGTGTTCTGGATGTCCTGGAAGCCTTGGAGATCTTGGAGCGCGTCATTATCATGACCTCTTGCTGACCTCTCCCCTGGAACTGGGGATACCCCCCCAAAAAAATCCCCCCTCCTCTCCAGAACGGAGACACCCCCCTCTCCGGCCAGACCCGCCCCCTCCCGAAAGTCCGGGGGTGAGGGGGGCGGCGAAAACGCCCCTGACCCCGAAAGTCAGGAGGGGGGGGGGGGGGGCGACACCCCCAGTCTCGCCGCGGGCAAACATCGTCACGACGACCACGACGAATACGACGACGACGACGACGACGACATCGCAGCCGCCGTCCTCGTGTTGTCCTTCTCCTCCTCCTCCTCCTCCTCCTAGTCCTCCTCCTCCTCCTCCTCCTCGTCCTCCTCCTCCTCCTCCTCCTCCTCCTCCTCCTCCTCCTGCTCCTCCTCCTCCTGCTCCTCCTCCTCCTCCACCTGCTGCTCCTCATTACCGGCGCCTGGATCGGCCAGTCAGGCGGGACACGTCGTCGTTCGCCGTCGCCGTCGCCGTCGCTGTCGCCGTCGTCATCGCCATCGCCATCGCCATCGCCATTGTCGTCGTCGTCGTCGCCGCCGCCGTCGTCTGTCGTCGTCGTCGAGTCGGTCAGTCGGTTGGGCAGGCAGGACACGTCGTTGGGAGCGAACCGGTCGGGCGGGCGGGCGAGACACGTCGTCGTCGTCCTCGTTCTCTTCGTACTCGCCGTCGTCGTCGTCATCCTCGTCGTCGTCGTTTACCGGCGCCTGAGTGCGCGGACGTGACACGTGGTCGTCGTGGTCTTCCTCGTCGTCGTCCTTGTTGTCGACGTCGTTTTCCGGCGCCAGGCGGAGGTTCGAACCCACCCGCCCCCACCCAGGCTTTTTAGGGAGGGGCGGGGGGGTTCGACCCCCCTCCCCCACCACCACCTTCACTCTCGAGGGAGGAGGGCTACTACGACCCCCCCGATTCCCTGGGACTCTTGAGGGGGGGGCTCGACATCCCCCAACCTGACATCCTCCCAGCGCTTCTCTTTCACACCATGAAAATGCTAGGAAAGGTAGATCGAGAAATCCGCTGCCCCTGAGGGGGGGTACCCCGCGTGACACGCGGACAAGCGAGCGCAGGGAGACACGGGCATTGCGAGTCGTGGCAAGACCTGACGCTCTCTCATAGGTAGAGCTGCTCCAACACATCGTGCCAGCTGCACGTACGGTTGATAGGTTCGCGCAGCGGCGGCCCAGGCGCGCGGGCGTCCCAGGACGAACGCCGCCAGTGGTCTGGAACCTGCCGATACCGAACCGGCGTGCGCTGTCGGAAAGCCGTGATGGTTCGAGGCTCCACACAATCCACTCGGTGTCGGAAACCAATGCCGACGTCATCGCGACGTGGACCTGTCTAGCTGCCCTTCACTTTGCTCAGCGCCCCTGGGCTCCCCAGGGAACCCCGGAGAGCTGTGTTGACTGCTCTGTTCACTCCCAGGGCAGGGGAAGCGGGTGGAAGAGGCGGAGGGGGCGATCCTCTAGGACCGTGCACAGTTCGACTTCGTTGGGTCCAAGGAACACATTCCAGCAACATCGCCGTGCCTATGACGTTTCGTTTGGCTGGGATCACCTTGGCGCCTTCGATTCACGGACTCCGACGCACCTTCACTGAGCTGGTGCCAGACCGAGACTCTCGGGGGCGAGATGGAGAAAGGCGGCAGGGGGTGGCGGGTCCCCGATGCAGACGTCCAGGGAGGAGGCGGAGAAAGGAGGAGAGGGCGGAGGCGGAGAAAGGAGGAGGGGTGCAAGGTTCAAGTACGAAAGGAGGAGGGGTGCAAGGTTCAAGCACGAGGCGAAGGAGCAGGGGGGAGGGCGAAGAAAGAAAGAGAAGGCGGAGGCGGAGGCGGGAAGACGCGGAGAGATGCAGAGGAGGGAGGAGGCGGAGAAAAGAGTAGGGGGGGAAGAAAGAAGGGACGAGGAGACAGAGAAAGGAAGCGCTGGAATGCCCGCTCATTACCGCGATCATCACGTAGCTATGGGGGGCGCCACAATAAGCGTGGCGTTGACTGCACCAGATAAGACAAATAGGACGTAAGCGGGGCGTGGTTGCCACCAACGCGCATCGATACAAGTACAGGCGGGCCTCTGCTTTGGAGGTCCTGGGAGGTCCCCCGAGGTCCCCGGAGGTACCCGGAGATCTCAAGGGATCCCCCGAGGCTTCCGCGGAGGCCTCCCGCGGCCCAACTCGTCAAACAAACCATGCCCGCCCGCGAACTTCCGAGTCAGCCTAGAGCCTGCCAGAAAAAGGAGGCAAAGACCCTCCTGACCTCGGACGCCTGAACTCGGTTCACCGCAGGGCCCCCTGGTGGACCACTCTCGGTGGTTCAAAGGTGAGGTCCTGAGAGATGGGGTCCTGAGGACGAGGTGCCCCAAACAATGCAAATCCACCCTTCCCTGTACTTAGGACTCCCATCCCTCAGGACCCCACCTTTGAACCACCGACTCTCGACCAAAGGCCGACCGCAAGGCAACGAAAGCAAAGGTCTGCAGTGGCCCCGGACGCGGGGAACTCCGGCTTGCTTTGGTTGCGGAGTCCGTCTTCAAAATTCGACACGACATCTCGACGTGCAACGTCGTCGTCATCGTCGCCGCCACCGCCGCCGCCGCCGTCGTCCTCCGCCGCCGCCGCCGTCGTCGTCGTCCACGACCGGGGTCGGCGGCACCGGCCGAAGGCCTTCGCAGTCTCGACGTGCAAGGGCGAGATAGGCGGAGGAGGGCGGCGGGAGGCGAGCGAAGAGCGCCCGCCGCCCCGCGCCCGACGCCCCTCTCCGCCACCGGCCAGCCCCGGATTCGCCCGCCTCCCCTCGCCTGTTTTTTTGTTGTGCCTGCTCTCGCCGCCCCTTGCAGGTTTGCGTCGGGCGGGGAGGGGGTGGGCGCGAGATGGCGGGGGGGGGATGGGGGGAAAAGTCACACCTCTCGGGCCGAAAGCGAGGGCGAGCCGAGGGGCCGAAAGCGCGAGCGGGGGAAGCCGCGCGCCTCGCGGGGGCGCGTCTCGTGAGGGCCGCGGCGTGGGGGCCCGCGGCGGCGGCGCGGCGCCACGGCGCCGCGCAGCGGCGTGCAGCCCCTGGAGGCGTCGCTGCGGCAGCGCTGGCAGCGGCCCCCGAAGGGTTTTGAAGGGGCCCAGGGACACACAAATAAATACACACAGATCCCAAGATTCCCCCGATGACAGGCCAAGAGGCCCCCAAGACCGCCCCAAGAGGACCCAAGAGGCCTCCAAGACGCCTCCAAGACAGCCGAAGAGGCCCCCAAGACGGCTCCAAGGGGGAGCCCAGACGAGGGACCAGAACGGTCACTTCGAGCTCTCGACCTGAGAAGCTCCCAGGAGGCCCCCAGAGGCTCCTGAGAAGCCCCCCAAGAGGCCCCAAGAGGCCCCCACGAGGCTCTCGGGAAGCCCCAAGAGGCTCCCACGAGGCTCCCAAGCGGCCCCCAAAAGCCTCCCAAGAGGCCCCCAAACTACCCCCAAGAGGCACCCGAGAGCGCTCGTCATCGTCGTCGTCGTCGTCGTCGTCGTCGTCGTCGTCGTCGTCGTCGTCGTCGTCGTCGTGGTCGTGGTCGTCGTCGTCGTCGTCGTCGCCATTCAGGGTCGGCGGCACTGGCCGTAAGACCTTCGCAATAAATTCACCCATATTCCAGGATTCCCGCAATTTTCTCATGTCTTCTTGATATTCGCCTTCCCCCCACGCGTCATATTCTCCCATACCATCCTGGGGATCGACGATTATTCGTCTGTGTTTTTGTTGCCCTCCTGAAGCTTGTGCTTGTGCATGGTTTTCTCTACGTCGCGTTCCCACGGGCAGCCGGGAGAAGGAGTCGGAAGTGGCGGGAGGGCGACAGCCCGCGACAGCGGCAGCACTCACTGAGCCTCCCATGCCACCTCTTGCTGGCTCTTGCGCATCGTCGCTGAGCGACGCTCGTCGACGCTGGTCGATGCGAGTCGACGCTGAATCGGCGCTCGCCCATCGACTGCCAAACGCTGGCGCACGCGGACGCACTCTAAAGACGGAATTGCGAGGAAACGTCGGCGACTCCGAAGGGTGTGGTTTGCAAAGGATGTGGTCTGGAACCGGCACCCGGGGGGGAACACCCCGGGGGGGGCGGGCGGGGACCTCGCTA